AACAAGAGGCATGGGGCACAGGATAATGGAAAGACAAAAGGAAATCCTGTTCCTGTATTAGCATTGTATATGTTTATGGAAGTGTAGCTCTGTCAGGATAGCACATTTTGGAGGTGGTTAAATTGCTACGGAAAATATAATAATAAAGAATAACACTGAAAGTAATTTATAGCACGGACACAATAGCATAAAAGCAGGATTATCCCATTAAAGCCTTTTTTAAATGTACCATATTTAAAAAAACATGAGGTGCAACAAAAAACCCATGTAATAATATAAAAACCCATATTTATTCAAGCCTCTGCAGCCAAAATCATAAGGTAGCCTACAAAAAAAAAACAAAAAACAACTTTTCAAACTAAAATTATTTAACCGTAAACAACAGCAAAAAGGTATAAAATTGCCTAATTTTGGATAGTAGGATATACAGGCCAATTCTAACTTGGACAAAAAAACCTGAATCTCCTTCATAGGAAATGATTTTCTACCTCATGCTGCCATCACACTGTGCCCCTTTGGCGTCAATTCACGTGGGCACATTTTCAGTTAATAGCGCCCTCCACTGGACATTCCACATACTGTTATGCATTTAGTCAATATATTTCAGCATCTCAACTCTAATGGAATCTATTACAGAGTACGAAACAATACTAATAATATACTAATATAGAACTGCTGTGATATGTTTTAGTTTAATTTTTTTAGTCAGTGGAAGTGCCCAGATTACAAGATCCGCTTTTATTTTCTGATCTACAGCTATTGTAATGTTTCCTCATTGAAAACATACCGGGAGTTGTGTTTTGTTTTATTCACACATGTTTAAAACACAAACCCTGCATATTTAGGTTGAATTCTTCTCTCAGACCTAAAATGCTCTGTTTGTTCCACCTTGTGATGCCATGTACGATGCCATAATACGGGAAGTGCTCCATTGTGTTATTTGGATAATTTCAGCCCTAGAATCGCCAGTCTCTACTGAACTAATGGTAAAAGGCAGCTGAGAACTTAAAAACTACCACCTCATGACAACACAAGATGGAACAGAGGAGTCTGAGTGTTGGAGATGTAAACAGACTAATAATAAAGGATTACTCAACCATTTGTGAATAAAATGTTATGTTTTTGAGGAGGTTAACAACATTCTAACATGGTTACAACCTCACAAGAGACAATTTTGCATAATATAGGACCTTTAAACAGAACAGATCAAAAATGTTCACAGTGAAAAGTGTGGATTGAATAGTCTCCTCTGGAAACAAATACTTACTTGAGATGCAATCACTTATACAGTATATAGTAGGGATGTAACAATAACTGAAATATCTTGATATTGTATCGTCAAAAGTCTCACAATAATACCGTGAACTATCACAGTATATCGAATTACAAAATCCTTTGCTTGAAGGCATTGATTTATAGTACGTATAGCTAATAAACATCGGGAACTACATATCACATGATTCATTTCAGAGGAGACAACATGAAGAAATATGTTTTTACTTGAATTCTTGGGATTATGATGGAAATAATTCACACCGAAATCTTGTTAAGGTATTTTAAAAGCAAAAAAGTGTCCCATCTACAATTATATCAGCCTCTCCAAAATATTGTAATAAATATCATACCGTATGCATATCATGATAATATTTGGATAACGTTACATCCCTAGTATATAAACAATGAAACTTGAAGGACATACATTATAAATCTGAGTCATCGCGTAGACTCAAAAACTGTCTGCAGTAATCTGAGTGAAACAAATGCAAATGTGACACAGACATTTTCTTACACAACATAATGTTATATGATGTTTATAATAACATAATTATGAGATACACGTTGAAGCATATGGCAAAATAAATGGTGCGGAGCTCAAAGAGTCTTAAAGTCGCAACACCACTTACCACATAATGCTGTTTTCTCATTATCACCCATTGTTTAAAAAAGCTATTTGATACAACACCTGCGAATGTTCAGTCAAAATGTTCTCCGCATGACAACAAAACAGTGTCTATAACAATGTATATATCTCTCTCTGCTCTGAAAGTCACACTCAAATTTATTTTCTGAGAGCACTGCAATTCTTTTTAAAAAATTATTGTTATTTTGAAATTATACAGAACAAAAACAAAAAAAAGACAAACCAACAAACTAGAAAACACCCACACCGCATCCCTCTCTCCACACATCAAACACACAAAACTATAAACAAAAACCTCTGGGCAGACAAACATTTAAAAAAAGTTCACATTTTTAGCGCATACAGAAGAATTCACAAAAAGACAGAACTGACAAACTAACGCAAGAATCATATTTTTAAACTACAGGGTTAGCTGTTTTTTATGCAGAGTAAGAATATGAAAAATAATGTCTTGTTTATGGAGGAAATTATGGTATTAATTTCAGCTTTTGCGATTGCGTTGGTTCAATCTGTATTTTTTCTAGTAGGTGGTTTTCAGATTCTACAATGTGAGAATGTCAGATGAGGAGCAAGAGCCAGATTTCCCTACTGATTACGTTGTACTTTGCCATAAAATATCCAAAAGGTAAATGCACAAATGTTGGTCCTGATCATTTCTATTAGTGACTAGACCCAAGAACTCACTGTATTACAATAAAAATCTGTATTTAATTTTAGCTGTCCCAATCTGTATAAAATATGATTGGCCTATCGAATGTGCAAACTCCCCGATTCAAAACTGTCTGGTGAAATCTGAACATTTGTGGAGACACACATATCTCCACAAATTTTTTCCTTGATAAAAGAAGCGGACACTGTACTGGGCTCTCAAAGACATAGGCCTATAGATCAGAACAGCAGATAGAAAAATCCATTTGTCATTTGGACAAAAGTAGTTTTGCTGTTGTTTTGCTTTGTTTTTACTGAATGTTTGTTTTGCTATGGATCCTACCTGGACGACGGAGGAATTACTCAGATATAGATCAGAATGTAAAACCATTCCAGATCTAGATGACATACACAGGGACAAAACAGGAGCTAAAAACCACACACAGAAACATCCTTGTATTTCATGTATGTTATATAAGTGTAATAACTAATACATTTTTTAAAACAATAGCCATTTTCCTTCAATATTTACCTCTTAAATACCCTCCAACACCCAAACGCTACTTAAAGAGTATTGTTTAGTGTTAGTGGTGTGATGTGGCGTCCATATTGTTGCCCTGTTTTCACACAACTGCTGCCTGTCAATCAAAGCCAACGCCCCCAGTGCAAATAAACAAGTCCCGCCCTCTTCCTCTGCCTCTAATTGGCTCGGATTAAAGCAGCCATTATCTCAGTAAAGCTGATCTGAAGGCCGACCGAAATGCACGTTGCATTCTTGCTATGGAAATAAAGCACAAGACCCACTTTTGAAGGGCTAAAACTACAACAGCAGCCACAGGAAGCACTACAGGAGCTGAAAAAGAAATCAATAGCACGAGGATTTAGGCCAGTGTGTGTCAATAGTACCACGACTGCACGGAAATATTAGATCTTCTTCCCCTTGTATTGATCAATAACAAGTTTTGATTCAACTGTATTTGTTATTAAAACCAATAACATGTATTTCAATAGGATATTATTATCTGTATCAGTATTTATGATTATTTATTTATACTATTTACTTTTATTTATGCTATTTACCTTATTTATACTGTTTACCTGTCGATTAAAAAGACCAAAGCAGATCATTGATTCGAAATAGGGGAATCTCAATTAAAATCTCAATTAAATTAACTTCACAGCCCTAGTACTACTCTTGAATCAATAAAATAAATTAGGAAAACCTTGCAATGAGCTAATGAATACTTGCTAATTGTATTAATGTTTTAGTACTGATTCATGGCTTAATGTAAGTTCAAAAGATTGCACTGGTCATATGATATGCTTTCGAATACAAAAATAATACATATGATACATTATACATAAGCAAGAACTGGATATTATAATTTATTGATTAAAAACTCCAAGCAGGCACAAGATTTAAAATTTAAGTTAAGGTTATGCTCCATTATGCTAAAAATGACTGTTTAGTATAGAAAATACCATAGGAATGTCTATTTCCTGGCAAGTACTGAAAGTAAGTACTGAAAACATAAATTCACATGTTTGATATACTAACTAACACTGATAATGTTAAATGTGATCAAATTGGACTATAATGATCATATTTTTGCTTATTGTGTGACTCAAAGCCTGTGGTAGTGTTGGCGGGGCACAAAAGCTGTTTGTTTGGGGCAGAGCAGCGCATGGGTGCAGGGCGGTGGGTAACTCATCTTCAGGAGGTTCCCAGACCAGCCTTCAACCCCTCTGCCCCTCTGCCTCATGCCCCTCTGCCTCATACCCCTCTGCCCCTTTTCTCTCCATCAGACAAGTGAATACTCCACTTAGGCTCCGTTTCAACCCACAAGAATAAAATTATGTCAGACAACTGAAAGTCAAGTCCCGTCTAGTTCAACAATAAAAATACGGATTACTTAGTTTGCGAGACCATTCATGTTGTAGTTAATATCAGCCAAGTCTTACTATAATAATAATAACTGCATAAAGCTACATATATAAACATGCATTGTGTAATCTTAGACAACTCAACAGGTAAAAGAGAGATGGCTGAATAGTGGCGATACCTGACAAAACAAAGTTAAGATAAGGGGCCAAGGAGATGTGCAAAAAGTGGATTTGCACATATAAAAAAATCTGTAAAAACTTCAACAACCATGTGCTAAAAAGGTCTGTTGGTGATTGCTGCAGTAACTGTGCATATAGATCTTATGATATATAAGTTTATTTCTCTTTTAAGGTAAATTTTATGATGATTATTTATGTTTTGATTTGTTTGTATTTTAATGATTTTAATGTCTTTCTTATTCTGTAAAGCACAAATTTACAAATAAACTTGCCTTGCACACGCTCTATAATTTATAGACTATAATCTATAAAATACAACAGGTTATTTATTACCCTAAAGATAAGTCCATTCAAAAGGTCCACTCCATTAATTAGCAGCAGCAGGCTTTGGGACAATCTCTTCATAATTACGTGGTTTCCCTCGCAGACCCCTGCTGCGCTCTGCATTGGTCAAACTGGTGTCAAGGACCTCGCACTTGGTCTTTAGGAGGTGGACCTCAATTAGTTGGAGCCACGCGTCCTTTTGGAGAAAGAGGAACTGCGGCAGGAGTCTCTAAACACTCACCTCTGACCTTTCTGTGTCGACCTCTGACCCATGGGTCCCGGGCCACAATGCCGTCCCATCTGGAGCGGCCTGAGCAGGTCTATGACAGAGGGAGAAACCACAATCAAGAAGAACTGTGTGAAGCTATTGAGGGGCTGAGAAACAGGACCTGCCCACACCAAAGTCCTGAACCAAACTCACCTCTGATCAGGGCCAAACACGCGGGATGCCTCGTCTAATTGAGCTGAGTCTGAGAGAGACAGGGTTTCTCACGAACACGCTCTCCACAGGGGCGCCAACACAGCCACAATTATCTGGCAGTTTGGGCACAACAGAAAACTGCTCTGAGATGTGTTAGAGGTGCAGCTGCAAAAAGAGGATTGGGCTTTTTTTTATATGGTATATAAATTCATACATAATAGTGTGTGTACTAAAGAAAAAAGTGAGATTCAAGCCAACATAAAAATCCAAATATAGCAGATTTTGTATTTTGTAAATCAAGGAAGCCATTGTCATTTAGGAAGAAATGAAGACAACATTTTCAATACCGAGGAAGATGTTGATTTGTATAAAAAAAAAAAAAGAAAGTATTCATGGGAAAAAAGTCAAATGCTTCTAAGCCTACACTTGTATTGTGTTCATAGAAAGCAGATGCTTAAATATTTATTAAGTTATAGTTTTCAAACTAAATACAAAATAAACAAATCAACAAAACAATTTGAGTTATCTGCGAAATAAAAACTCTTTTCAAATCATCAACGCACCTGCCCCCATCTATGGCTCACTGATGCCACCTGGTGGCGACATTTTTTGTAAAATTTTGTAATTTATTTCTGTTCATTTTCATTTACAACTCAACCATAAAATGACTGGTTACTCTGAAGCACACTTTTGTGTTAACCCACTCTCAAACACAGTTCTTGAAGTGTACAAGTTATTATAGACTCATTTTACGCCGTATAAAATCTTAGCTTAGATCAGGCCTTAATCATTTAGCATGTCTGTTTACCTAAAGGCGAAATACAACAGGTAAACTCATGTTTTACGTTTTTAAGCACTGACTTACATTTTTTGTGTTTTGGGGAGATCTGTTCCTTCAGCGACAAAACTTCCGTGGACCACAGACAGGTGAGTCCGGTCACATGACACAGAACAGGGTTAAAATTGGACTACAGTTTTTAGCTAAATGGTACTTTAGAAATGTAAAGTGCTCATTACATGGCCCCATTTTATAGTGCAGCTATGTCAGTCTTATTTGTCAGAGGCCCGTGGTATTTAAGAAACATAAACAGATAATTCAGGATAGAAAAGGAGTTTATTCTTGGCTCTGTTCTACAAAACTTTATTACAACATAAAGCTGATGAACAAAACTGAGTCTGCTCTGTGGAGATACATGTGCTGTGTGGGCCTATAGTTTTTATGGATATGTAATGGACTGAAACTTCATGTAAGGGAAATACACATAAGCATCACTGTTGGATAAACTTTTAGCACCATATTCAGTAAAAGTATTGTGAAACACAAAAAGTAAAATATACAAATTTAGGTGGATGTACTATGAACACTGTTAGATACACAATAAAATGTCCTGTTGCCTTATATTCAAAATAAAGTGCCACTTCCTATGCTCTTTTAGAGGTCAAAACTGTGTCCACTCATAACATAAATAAGCAACACAAATCACAAGGTGTCCACTAATTACAATATGAAATCTATCAGGGATACCAAAAACATGACATACAAGTTCAAAATTGAAAGATGAAAAAAAAAAATGCTCTAAATACAGCAACTTTCAGCTTTAAGACCTTGTAGAGTAGACTTTATACAACCAAAAACACATTAATAAAAGGAAAACAAAAGTTGAATCTTGTAGAAAATGTTTCTTATTCTTAATATAATTGTGTTCACTCAAAGCTGTAGAAAATTGTGCTTATGTTCAAACCTCAAAACCACTGCAATTTAAAACACACAGTTAAAACTTGATGTCCCAGTACTGTGGCATCTCTTTGGGAGTTTCAAATTCATGAAAATCATATTCTTCAATCGCAGGAAGGTTCCTGTCTGTAGAAGTTACACTGGGGAACTGGGTTAGACTCCAGTTCTCTGCAAAATAAAACAAAAATTTCGCATTACAAAAAATATATATATATATATGTATGATAGGAGTGGGATGAGACACTATTTACACAAGACAAGACACAAGATTGAGTCCATGAGAACAAAACAAGACAAAATTGTTACATCATTTCTAATAAATTAATGGTGTGGTTCAGTTTACAATTTTGCTGTGAAGAAATCTAAATGTCAACTCTCAAAGGGTTCGTATTACGCTCTTTTCTGATTTATGTTATAATGTTGTTTCCTCATCAAAAACAGACCTGGAGTTGTGTGTTGTTTCATTCACACACGTGTAACACAAACCCTGCATATTTAGGCTGAGTTCTTCACTCAAACTGAAAACATCCTGTACCACCTTGTGATGTGGTAATACAGGAAGTGCTTCAGTGTTTTTAAACTCCAAACACCTTCACTAGAATCATTTGGATGATTTCAGATCTGGAATTGCTGATCAATAAACCAGGCTTATTCAAACATGTGGGAATGTAACATAACTCTGGGTATGTTTTTGATGAACATTATAACATGGCTTAAAGCTCCATTTTGTGTAATATAAAACCTTTAACCCATTTTTTGTCCAAACTAAATGTAAAACAGAAAAATCTTACAAGATAATTTTGCCACAATCTTTTCATGTGATCCTGTGTCCCATCCCTATTAACTGTGCAAAAATACATTTCTGATCGTACCAGGGATGCACTGGATCTGGGGTCTTTCCCACTTGCCCCCGGACAGACACCTGATGAGGGGGTTGAGTCTCTGCTGGAAGCCCTCGGAGCAGTGATAGCGGACAGCTGCGTTTGTGGGATACCTCTGTTTAACTTTTCCAAATATGGAGGCATTTCTGACTCTGGGAGGTGGACCACAGGAAGCTGGAATAGACACAAGAATTACAAGATGTTCATTAAATCAAATACACAGTAAATATTATGCATGGAGTGGAACTGCAAGAACAACTGGTTGAACAATTGTTGTAGGAGATATAACTATGTATACTGGCATTCTTATGTTCAGTGTTAACTTAAAAATGTTTTGTATCAACACTTTTTTTCACTTTTAAGTCATCGTTATCATTAGAAAAAATATGATAATTGAAATATGAACAAATTATGACATAAGTCTTCTTTTTATATTTGGCCGACAGCTGTTCTTCTATAGAAAGGACAGATGTAAGTGAAATGGGAGTGAAGAGCAAGGAGAGACAAAAGGAGTCTGGTTAAGGGACCTGGCTTTGCAACATGCAGTCTAGGTCTGCAGAAGAATGTCAAACAGATACCTATTACACCAATTACACTCTTCCTCATACATCCAAACTCTGCCCGTCCTCCCCCTCACTCTTTTCTTTAGTCATCCAGGTACTGCCCAACTTACTTACCAACGCTATTTGAAATGTACTTGTGAGAGGAGTTTAGGTGTTCAGTTCCACTTTACGTTCCTGATTATTAAGCATAGAGTGATTTGAATATCTCATAGTACTCACAGGTGCCCTTCTTGCAGGTATAGGCCAGGTGGTAATTACAGGGCACATCGCTCCAGCGTCCGTTGTCGTGCCAAACCATCACCACACAGTCCTCCCCAGAGAGGAAGTAACTGTCAGGCTGCCCCTTGTACCAGTTCTCATACAGCTGAGGGCACAGTCACAAATCAGTTATATATTTAATCAATGACTATATTCATTATAATGCAACATTCTACTGTGTACTATTCAATATCATCTAGTTTTAATTAAACTTTTCCTGAGTGCCTGGATTTAGTTATGATTGAGTTTTGATCTGTGTTTTTTTTCCCAAGAGCACCCTTTACTGTACATGTTTATAATTAGAAAACACTTCACTGACTGTGGGCTTTTTGTGGCTATACACATTTTCTTCTGTAGTTCTAGTGTTTTAAACTAACAAATGCTTTTCAGTTGTTTTCTTTTCTTTTGAGTAAATCTTTGTTTAAAAGTACTTTTTTCATGGTGAAGTCCTATCTTCCCTTATATATTTCCTTATAAAATTCTGAAAAATGGTGTCTAGTTTGGGTGTTTCTGTACCAGAGGGTTGCCATCCGACCAGCGGAAATCATCCTCAATTGCCTTGTCATTCAAACCAGTCCATTGGTACTCTTTGTAGAAATCTTAAAGAAAAACAAAAGGCCTTTAAATACGAAGTGTAAATACTATAAATTAAAGGGCCCATAATACACTATAATCTGATTTAAGTTATAATATTGTTTCCTTAACAAAAACATACCTGGAGTTGTGTTTTGTTTCATTCACACACGTTTAACACACAAACCTGTATATTTAGACTGAGTATTCTCTCAAACAGAAAACACCCAGCCCTTCTTTTAATGTGCTGTGGTAATACAGGAAGTGCTCTACTGTGTTTTTAAACTCCATACACTTTCATTAGAATCGTTTAGACAATTTCAGCCCTGAAATTGCCAGTCTCTACTGGGCAAAAGGTACAACACAGCCATTAACTTGAAAACTACCATTACACGACATCACAAGTTTTGGGACAGCAAACAGCCAAATAAGGCAGCATTACTCAAACATGTATAAATGAAACAAAACACAACTGCAAGTTTGTTTTCAGTGAGGCAACAGCATTATAAATTTGTGTAATATAAGACCTTTAAATAGTATAGATTAATGGTACTAGACTTACTGTTGATAAAGCCCTGCTCTTCAGGACTCATGATGGACACTAGATGCGCCCCCATCGTCCGGCAGTGCTGCTCCGCCACCTCCCAGCTCAGACGGCGCCCGTAGTGACGGTAACAGTAGCCCTGGAACTTATCCCAGCCCACCTCACACTGTTCCAGGTCTGAAAGCACACAAAGACGTGTACACACATGAACCACTGCTACTGCATGCTTTTAACCAAGGATGCTGCAGGAAGCTTGAATTGACATAAAATGGGTCCCCTTCACATCACTTAAGTTATGTTTAAGCTATATTCCCAAGCACACAGTGTTTTGCTATTTTTGCTACTTATTTAGAACTTATTATCACCATTTACATTGTTACTTTTGTTATTACAATATATTGTGATGTGTGAGCTACTGTGTCCAAATAATTTCCCTTGGGGATCAATAAAGTCTCTCTAAGTCTAAGTCTAAATTGGGGCACATTTGTGTATAGTATGTTTCTGCACTGTCACTGCCTGCTATCTATGGTGACACTCAGTAATCTTTCATTTATGTTTTTGATGAAATAACAGCATTACACCTTGGCTTAAAACTTACAAGAGTTAATTTAGCATAATAAAAGACCTTTCTTTTTTTTTTTTAAATTCCTACTACAATTGACTTATCCTTGTGTACAGACCCTATTTAGTCCTATATTGTATATTATCTTTGTCCCCTGTTGAGCCCAGGTTTAGATCCAGTATGAAGTATGACTAGTTTGGGTTTATTACTTTATTTACATCAGGTTTAAAGGTGCACTATGTAACTTTTTGATTGGGTGTCCATCACATTCTTGCTTCTATGGATACTTCATTTTAGATCTGAACTGTAACTTGGTCTGATTTGGTCTCCATGAAGACAGAAGGGTTAATACCATACTGTGAAATATTCCAGACAAAGCAATAACATCTCAATGAACAAAAGCATTTGACGGACGCTTCACCAGAAAAGTTACACAATGCATCTTTAAGTCTAGATCGCCTTGATTTTCAGAAATACCTGCTTCAGTCCACTCACCTGTCTGACAGAAATCTCCTCCATATGTGGGTAAGCAGAGGCATTTGATCTGTCCATTTTGATCTGTGCACGTCCCTCCGTTCAGACATGGGTCATTGAGGCACCCATCTGAAATGCAAAACAGAAAAGAAATAATCATTTTACAGTGTTTTTACCAGACAAAAACTACCAAAGCATAAGCCAATAGGACAAATACATAAAATTAACATGGACAAGAGGAATATGAACCAATCCCATGTGACATAAAGCAGGTGTCATGATTCTTTTAAGCCAACAGGTGGCAGCAGAAGACAACACAAGGAACAAGTAAAGCTGCCCAGTCGCTGTTTTGTGCTTTCTCTGCTTCATCTCAAGTAATTCCAATCATTTGGAAACCATAATTTAGTCTTCAACAAAAATTATATGTACTTTATGAATCATCACTTCTTATATTTTGCTGAAAAATGTTTATTGAGGACCACACAGAAGTCTCACAGTTAATATGATGCAAGTTACTAAGTTTTGCTCTCTCTCTTTTCTATTAAATTTTTATTTTTATTTTTTTTCTGATATTCGACTTACCGTGTATTTTCATAATTGAGGCTATAGGAAAAGAAAGCGTCTAAAACAGAGTGAAGTGCAGTGAAGGGATGCGCTCTGAAACTAAATATTTAAAAAGTAGGTAAGTACGTTTTATTTGTTTCCTTTGGCATCCTATAAACAAGATGTCTGTTGCATCTATAATTAACCCCAACTGTTAACAAGTGTTTTTAAGGTCCTTCTTAGGAGCCTGGTAATTTGGAAGCGTAATCACTGCTTTCTACAAATGTAATGACAATATTGTGACATCTGCGTAAAGTTACTGTCCTCTCAAATGTGTGTAGTATGTACTTTCTTAGATTTTGAGTTTAGACAAGCAAAGGGATCTGTGACTGTGCAGGCACGCTCTTCTCTGCAGCTCTCAAAATTGTTCTCCACGTCATTCGCACAGAAGGAAATGAGTTGTCTGTGATTTTAATGGCTGGGAGAATGGCACCAGGCCCAGATAAAGGTCACTGCTCATTACATTAGTTTTATTGGAGGAGCTGGATATTCAGTGTTGTGAATGTAATTACCCAGGCAGATGTGAAAAAGAGACGTCTTAAAGGGCCCATGTTATGCTGTTTTCTGATCTACAGTATGTTATAATGTTTCCTCATCAAAATCATACTTGGAGTTGTGTTTTGTCTCATTCACACATGTTTAACACACAAACCCTGCATATTTAGGCTGAGTTCTTCCCACAAACAGCAAACACTTTGTTCCACCTTGTGATGTGGTAATACAGGAAGTGCTCCACTGTGATTTTATACTCCTTTATACTTTAAACTAGAGGTGGGACCAAGTCGTTGTTTTGCAAGTCTCAAATAAGTCTCAAGCCTTTGACCTCAAGTCCGAGTCAAGTCCCAAATCAAATACAGGCAAGTCCAAGTTGAGTCTCGTGTCACTGGCCCATAAGTCCAAGTCAAGTTCAAGTCAAGTCCAAGTCGTCTGCTTTGAGTTTAAGTCATTTCAAGTCTTTAAACCAAAGTACCAAATATAGCTTAGATTTTTGCAAATTATATGAATTTTAAGATAAATTGTACTTAAAAATTCACAGTATATTCATATATGAGTATTTATAGAGTATATAAGAGTTTTAGAAATTAGTTTAATTAATTTTTTATTTTTAAATCTCTTGACAAGATCTTAATGTGAATCATTATGGTCAGAATAGAAAGAATTCAGATTTAGAAGTGTTTCTCGAGTCTTCTCAAGTCACTGACCTTCAAGGCCAAGTCAAGTCCCAAGTCTTAGTAAATTTTAACAAGTCAAGTCTCAAGTCCTAAAAATAGTGACTCAAGTCTGACTCGAGTCCAAGTCACGACACCTCTGCTTCATACATCTTCACTAGAATTGTTTGGATAATTTCAGTCCTAGAATTGCCAGTCTTCACTCAACAAAAGATAAAATGTAGCTGTTAACTTGAAAACCACCACTATATAACATCACAAGGTGGAACAGGTCATTTTGAGCTTTGGAAACGTAATCAGACAAATAATAAAAGATTACTCAAATGTGTGAAACACAACCCTAAGTATATTTTTGATGAGATAACAAAATTCCACCATAATTAAAAGTTCACATGAGTCCATTTTGTGTAATATAGGAAATTTCAAATCTGTAAGTCTTCCAAGAAATTCACTTTTCATTCATGTAAAAATTATATAGTTACCTCAGTGTGATCTCTATATTTTAGTACATGGGCCAAGTTGCCAGATAAGATGGTCATTCAGTTATAACCTCAGCCAAAATTTACAACTGTGAGATAAAGGAAGCTGCATGTGTGTAATAAAATGCTGATAAGACAAAATTTACTGTTTATAATTTTCATAAAAAGGGTTCTCCTCATCTGCAACATGAACCTTACAGAGTGGCCATTATTTATAGCCGACTTTATTCTGTGCCTTATGTGTAAGACCTACACTCTTCAGGCAGTACACATTTTATTTTAATCCCTTCCTTCACTACTTGGCTCTGTGTAAAAGTGCTCCTCATGCCCCAGTCAAACAACCCATGAACTGAAAGGTCCTATATTACACAAAATTTACTCTTGTGAGCTTTTAATGATGTTATAATGTAGTTACCTCATCAAAAAATACCTGGAGTTGTGTTTAGTTTCATGAGTAACCCTTTGTTTTTAGTTTGCTCTGTTTGTACCTTTTGTTCAGTAGAGATTAGCAATTCCAGATCTTAAATTATCCAAATGATTGTAATGAAGGTGTATGGAGTTTAAAAACACAATCGAGCACTTCCTGTATTACCACATCACAAGGTGGAACAGAGGGTTTTCTTTTTGAGGGAAAAACTCAGCCTAAATATGCAGGGTCTGTGTGTTAAACATGTGTGAATGATACAACAACAACTCTGGGTATGTTTGTGAAGAGGAAACAACATTATAGAGTAGATCATACAGCATAATATGGGCCCTTTAAAAGTGCACTACGTAACTTTTCGGGTGGAAGGTCTGCCATTGCTTGTCTGCACGAATATGCTATTGCTTCGCCCGGAATATTCCACAGTATGACATAAACTTGTCTAGTATCTATATGGAAAAAAGTAGGTGACACAACCAAGCCAAGTTAAAGGTCAGATTATCCACCAAAAAAGTTACATAGTACACCTTTAAAACCTGTGTGCGTTAAGGAACCTGTTGTTTTGTACAAGATGAGACAAAAACAAATGCGGAGTAGTTGCCTTTATCATTGTCACACCTGAAAAGACAATACAAAGGTGATATGAAAGAGATGGTTTCTGTATTAAAGAACATGGCACATAGAGCTAAATACTAAAACACAATATTGTGCTTATTTACATATTAATAAATTGTGCTTTTGCAACAAACATAAGGAAATGAAACACAGGATTTATGGTTAGTCATGTCATTATTAGACTGTATATAACATGGATGTAGTAATAGTGAACAGGTTTTAGCTATTTTTTTGTTGAAAAGTTGTTTATCACTGACCTGGTATAGGAGGAACTGTATTTTCCAACTCCTGACATTTAGCGGGGGGCTGTGTCTTTGATGCTCACTCCAAAAACACGGATTAATGAGTTAACATATGCTCCTTTGTCACTATGGGGTATGTCCAGTGTTTTTCTTGCTCTAACTACATACAGAAGATACAAACATAGTGGTTGAAAGTGTTGGGAAGATACTAAATACATCCACCAAGAATACGTATTTGAGTCACCTTATTCTGGTGCAGCTTCTTTTTCATTTGGTTATAGAGTCAGAATATAGTTACTTTACTAAAATCAAAAGGACTACATTACGGTATTTGATCATGTAATTTAGGCTTCGAACTGCACAGAATCAGTGAGAAAAATAAACAGTTCTGCTCTTGTGGTGAGTGTGTGTGTGGTTTTTCCATCTCCAGTGAGTGATATGAAATGCTTGAAAAACAGTGAAACAAATATAAAGCAGTTTTTAATACTATGTTTCAGCTTTAAACTATAATTTAAATGCAACTCCATGTAAAAGTATTATGTATTCAGATTAGAGTACACTGATTGGACCATGTATCGGAATATGGTACAATTTACATTTTAATGCAATTATTGAATATTCTGTAACTAAATACATTTTCAAAGTATTCTCCCCATCACTGTTTGTTGATAAGTCAAGACTTTGCATTGGCTTTGTGACTTTATGCCCATCATCATGTCTCAAGCATCATTAGTTTCATGGTCAAAAGCTGGAGCTACAATGAAAACTGTGTATCATAGTGTTATAGCTTGGTATTTATTTACTCTACCAATACAGTAGTGTAAGATTTAAGCATATTTTTATTACTGTTGTTCTCTTATCTTATTCATTGTTATAAGTTAAAAATATATAAAGAGATTTTCTAAAATGTTGAAATGTTTTTCACTCTACATCCATCCCTTATATACAGTCTACAATGTCAGTCGTCAATAAACATTCATTAATTTGCAGTCAGTGCTGGTACCATCAACACAAATTCTTTTACATTCAATTTTCAAGTCATTTAGTAAAACTGTGTGGTATGCTTTGACACAAGTTAAGTTCGGTCATTCAACTAAAACAGGAACACGCCCTATAAGCTATCACAGTACTTCACAGAAGTCAGATTTGGGTCAAGGTGAAGAAAGACATCATGCATAAGGGGAGGCTGTCCCAAAGGTGAGTAACTTTAAGATGAAGTAGTGAAGAAGTTGATTTGAGAAGTAAAAGGGGTATGAAGCAAGGCAGGTTTTGGGGTAGACAGACAATTAGTACATCATTGTGTTGAGGAGCAAAAGGAGGAGAGTTAAGCTGATAAGACATACTTCAACTTTACCTGATATTTTCCCTGTTCCGCCTATAGCTGCCCTCTCTACAGGTAAGATATGCAGTGAGGGGGGCGGGGTCAGACTAAATTTGTGGTCCGCCCGGCCAGTATCCACTGGGGGGATGTGCACTGTCACTGTTTGGGGAGATGAGGTCCCGTGGGTCACTTTTGGCACTGCAGTGGTTAAAGGGGTGCGCCTGGTCCAGTACGGTCTAGCTGTAGTAGTTTTGGCCGAGTTGTGATGGGACAATGTGGAGGTTTTCCTATTATACTCATGTTCCTGGGGTCTAGCTGTAGTGGTCAGTGATGTCCAGTACGTGGTTTGTGAGTCATTGGAAAATGCTGAGGAGTTATTTTTGTCGTTGGTAGGCATGACTAAAAGTTCGTCTTCAATACTTGTGACAACTGCAAGAATTTCTTCAGTCGGGGTTGTTTCAAAATTTGAACTTGCTGTAACGTTATCTTGGCTGACTTCATTCTCGTCATCAAACGTAGAATTGGCCGCTCCTTGATGAAAATTTTCCTCATTATTGTCAATAGTTGCATTTTCATCTTCTAGAGATTCTCCTTCCAGACCATTTTGGCTGGTGAAAGTGATGTTATCTTCCATAGTTGGTGTAGGCTCATCCAGATTTGGCAGTGCAGTTTCAGGTTCTTGACCACTTGCCTCTTGAAATACACCGGTCACTGCCTCTAAATACTCCCTGTAGTTTGGTTTAATAGAGGAATAGGACACTTGTGTAGACTCTGTGGTACCAAAACTTACAGTAGAGTCTAAAAGGTTGTCAGAATTGGTGGTTGTGATGAGTTTAATTTCTTCACTTTCAACCACAGCTGCATCTTCAGATTCTGCACTTGTGTTTTTAATCTCTTCTGCAGGTGAAGTGGTCAGATTCAGGGCTGTTTGGTGGGTTGGTGTGACACTGGGCAGGTCTGATGGTGCAGATGGACTTGACATGCCCAAAGTTTCAGGACCGGCAAGAATGGCCATAGTTGTAACATTCGTGTCAATCTCTGGAAAAAACAAATACAGAGAAATTTAGACTGCAATTTGGATCATTTAGCAATATTTAGCAATATTTATGAGATGCTGTGATCTATGGGTGAGAGAATATCACTATATGTGACATCATTCATCGTGGTATTTAGGCCCAGGTGCAGGCTGAAGGTAGCCAGGCTGGCGCCACCTAGTGCCTCCGCTCAGTTTAATTTCTCTCAACGACTAGGCCTGGAAGACCATACATTCTGTGTTGGCAGTGATTCCCGAGATCGAGGATTTAAAGGAACAAAGAGAATGTTTGGTGAATTTTTATCAAGGGGAAAGACATTATTGCCCTTCTTCTTACGGGATTTGGAAAAAGCTTAATATACCAGTTAGCCCTGTTAGCGGAGCATTACATACGTCACAACCAAATAGCAGAGAATGGTTAAATGAAAAAAGTATCCGCCTATCGTTGAACGAACAAATTCTAATGCTGTGAGGTCAAATGGTTTCTACAAAGTGAAATGGGCTGATGAATCAGGCTAGACTGAGGGTGCATTTGAGTTTGAAAGAGAAAAGGAGTGCAAACATAACATGCTTCCAAAGGCATTATTTTAGGTGCCTGAATTGACGGTGCAAACACTGTTGGTATCATAAAAAATTTTATTGTAAAAAAGTAGTATTATATCAGAGAAAATTCACAAAAACACTTTTTTAAAATTATAAAAACATTTTTTTGTTGTGAGCCTTGCCATGGATTTGAAAATGGATATCAATATCAGTATCGGCCATAGCAGCTTGACTAATATTAGGTATTGGAACAACTTTAAAAACATTCGAATCCTTATTTTTTCAGTTTAGGAAAGAAGTCTCCTTAAACATGTATCTTAAACATGCATATATAAGGGCTTATCTTGATTGTCAAACATCACAAATAAAAATAATTAAGTATAATAATTTGTTTGACTGTGTTTTGTATTGCTGCTTATAGGATTTCTTTTTATATTGTGCGTTTATTGTGTGTATATTGTGCGTTTGTTTTACCTTGGGACTCATCTCCAGATCCGTCTTGTGAAATCCACGTTATCAGCTCTTCAGTGGAAGATGTTGCCATTTGAGTTGGTTCCGTCAAAATGTCTTCGCTCTTTTCTGGTGCTTCTGTCAACAGTAAGATTTCCACTGGTTCTTCAACTTTAGACTCCTCCAGCTGCATTGTGGGTATTGTAGTTGTATTGGTCTCCTCCATCATAACCTCCTCTATGGGATCTTCCGAGCTGTCTACTTCTGTGACATTTGTTTGCACTGACTCCTCAATCTCAGCTAGTTCAGGCTCTTTAGTAGCTGTTGTTTCATTTTTGAAATCAGAAATTGCAGTGACGTTTTCAAGCTGCTCAAAGATAGATTCTAAAATATGTTGTGTCTCATTATCATGACTTAGATTGTAATTTCTGCTAGTTACCAAAACATGTGGGATTGTAGTTTGATTTTCTGCCTTAACAAAAGTTGAGTTAACACTTTCTTCAATGTCAATAATATCACCATCTTCAGGAATTGTACTATTATTCTCCACTGATTCTTCATCTAACTCTGGTATTTCTGTAGCTGTTGTGTTGTTTGAATCAGTAGGATCTTGTTCAGTTGTTGTGTTGTGGCTAGATTCATTTGTGTTTGCTACAGGAGGGGTTTTCACAGTTGCAGGAGCTGAAAATACTGAAATTGACTCTAGAAAGCTCAGGGCCTCTCTCTCCACTTTCTCAGTTTGGTGCAGTTTGAGTTCTTCATCTTTTTCTGTGAACATAACAACGCTCTCCTCAATGTCCTCAGATTCAGCGGGCAAGTAGTGAAGGGCAGAGGGAGCAGTGCCATTTCCTGTAAAGTACAAAGTCAAGTAAAAAAATGAAATTATAGCATAAATAGAGACCTAGATATACAAAATCTATTTTAAAAGATATAATTTTTTCAGATTTTTCATTCATGATTTTAGAATATAGACTTGCCCTCGAGTTTATATAGTCCAGACAATGATAACAATTCTAAAAAATATATGAATATGATATATTTTTAATTTAATTTTTTTTTACTAGTCACAATTATTTCAATTAATTGCTCTATAGGAAGGAGTATCTTTGTTCAAGATAGATTCTCTTCAGTTAAATTTGACCTTTTATGCTTTGGGGCATGGCCAGTTCTGGTTACAAACAACTGTACCAAACAAAATTGTCCATATCTTACAATGATATTTTCTGATCCAAGTTATAATGTTGTTTCCTCCCCAAAAACATACCTAGAACTGTGTTTTGCTTCATTCACACATGTTTAACATACAGATCCTGCATATTTATTTAAACGGAGTACTTCTCTCAGACAGAAAACAAACCTTCTGAAGTCATGTGGTAATAGAAGAAATGCTCCACTGCGTTTTTTTTTTGTTTTTTTTGTTTTTTTTACACATTCACTAAAATCATTTGTATAACTTCAGCCCTGGAATTGCTTCTCTCTACTAAATTAAAGATAAAAGGTAGCTGTTAACTTGAAAACTACCACTGTATGACTTCACAAGGTGGAACAAAGCATTTTGAACTTTGGAGATGTAGGTGTAGACTAATAATAAAGTGCTACCCAAACATCTATGAATGAAACAAAACACAGTCCTGATTATATTTTTGAAGAGGGAACAACATTATAACATGGCTAAAAGCTCACAAGAGTCAATTTTGTGTGATATAGAACGTTTAAAGGGATAGTACGGCATTTTGGATATAGGACCTCATTTCCCAGTGAACCAGAGTGTTGGAGATGTTTGGAAACACTTTTAAAAATATTCCATCCAGTCCTTGTATTTGCAGAGGTCGCTGGTGCTAGGCAGTGTTGTGCAAGTTCACACTTTTCATGAACTAGTTCAAAGTTCAGTTCATTTTATATTTAGATGAGATCTGTAAATGAAAGGCTGCATTTATTTTTCAAACTGACTTCTAGTTTACAACAACTTTACAAGATCCACTGTTGGACAAGTGACTTTAAAACTGTAATGTGTTATTTATGACTTGTTATTGTCATTTCTAAGTCATTTGTTACATTACAATATTACTGTATTTAAAATGTAAAACATTACACGACTATTGCAGCACTTTTAATTTACTCTCACCAAAAGAACTGTTAAGATGCTGAACTTTTGCGCCGTATATGGACTAAATCAGGACTAAACCAGGTCTAAACCAGGTCTAAACCAGGACTAAACCAGAACTGAACCAGGTCCAAACCAGGACTAAACCAGGTCTAAACCAGGACTAAACCAGAACTGAACCAGGTCTAAACCAGGACTAAACCAGGTCTATACCAGAACTGAACCAGGACTAAACCAGGTCTAAACCAGGTCTAAACCAGGACTAAACCAGGACTAAACCGAACAGAACTGAACCAGGTCTAAACCAGGAATAAACCAAGACTAAACCAGGACTGAACCAGAATTGAACCAGGTCTAAACCAGGACTGAACCAGGAGTGAACCAGGTCTAAACCAGGACTGAACCAGGAGTGAACCAGGTCTAAACCAGGAATAAACCAAGACTAAACCAGGACTGAACCAGAATTGAACCAGGTCTAAACCAGGATTGAACCAGGACTGAACCAGGACTAAACCAGAACTGAACCAGGACTAAACCAGGTCTAAACCAGAACTGAATCAGGACTAAACCAGGACTAAGCCAAGACTAAACCAGGACTAATCCTGGACTAGAACTTGGAATCTAGGACCGCCCCTGAGAGAACCCCGAGTGCGATCGGGCGTCAGCTGCGTTTATCTCGGTGGAGCGCGGACTTCTGCGTCGGTCCTTTCGCTCAGGATCACGGTCTACACGGGCGAACCTCCGGCGTTTCACCGCTGCTGATATCGCGGTGATTTTAGCAAATTTGTATGAAGAAAAACGAAAAACCCACCATTTCAATCCAGGTTAAAAAAGCATTGTGACGCGCGTTACTGACATATGTACCAAGTAAAATAATAAGCGCGCGGAGCAGCACGTCCTGTGCGTGTAGATTTCAGAAAATAGGATCCATCCACTTTTTTGACGCTCTACACGAGCGTAGGCGCGTATCCCCGTCAAAATACACAGAGAGCATGTATCTGTTGTTGTATTTGTGCATTTACCATCAGCACATTGTGCTCCCTGGGCAGTTGTGGATCATGTGAAAGAGCCCAGATCCACATAGACTGTTAATTAGTGCTTTGAAATTTACTTTTGAAATCCTTGCGTTTGCCGTGGTCAGCCTGTACAGAAGGTAAATACAAGCAGCTAAACGCGCCCAGTCAAGTTTGATTGACTTCCCATTGAGAGACACAAGAGCCCGTACGTTCCGTTAAAGCTGCCGGTGGAGTCGCCTTCGCGTTGACACGCGGCTGTGGTTTCGCGAGGTGAAGTGCGAGCAGATCGTCACTCGTCAGGTGAAAACAAATTCCGACGTTTAACTGAACCCCAACAGTGACGTACGTCGTTCCTCACACATAATTTGAACAAATTCACGTTCAAGTTCTTGATTTACAAAAGTGTTGCGTTCAGTTCAAAGTTCACTGAAAAATGAACGTGTTCAATGAACTTCTTATGAACTCGTTCATGCACAACACTGGTGCTAGGCTAGTGCATATCAATGGCCATAGTTAGCCTGCCACTAAAAACAGTCAATCTATTATTATGCCAGACTATCCATGTGAATGTTTGTGTTGATAGAATAATTTTAGAAATAAAATCAACCTTACATGCAGAATTTATGTCTGAGCAGCCACGAGTTGTACTTTCTTATAGAAAGCTTGGCAGCAGCGGACTGATAGTGTCTATCTTACCAATAAAGTAAAATTCTGCTGCTGCTGAGAAAATAGTCCCTCAGCATGCAACGATTCATGCGATGCAAGGTTAGTTTTATTTTAAACATTATTCTATCAACACAGACATTCACATCGACAGTCTGGTGTAATAATAGATTTGCTTTGGATGCTGTTTTTAGTGGCAGGCTAATTATGGCCATTGACATGAGCTAGCCTAGCACCAGTGACCTCTGTAAATACAAGGACTGGATGGAATACTTAAAAAAGTGTCTCCACACGCCTCCGACATTCTGGCTAACTAGGACATGAGGTCCTATGTCCAAATTTCCAGACTGTCCCTTTAAAGAGGGTAGAGACAGTAAGAAAAACATTTAGCAGATAATAAATCGATAATACTAGGAACACACCTCTGAAGCAGTAAACATCATGAAGACTTGATGGTTCGGGGAATCCAGTCTGGTTGCTGAAGAGGTACACAGTTTTGACTCCGGGCTGCGAGCCTCCACAGCGCTCCCTGGGGGTGACAATGGGGTATCGCACACTGCCGTCCGACAGCCACCCGGGACTGCAGCGGTCCATGCCCTCGCTCCAGGCCAAATACAGCTGAGCCGTGGAGGCGAGCTCTGCCTTCAACGCTCTGCAATATGTCTGCGCTACTGGGAAGGACAACTGCTGTGGTACCGGCTGAAAAAACACCTCACCTAAAATTAAAATATAAATAAATATGACAATTTTAATGCTGCATAATGATCCAGGGAAATTGGAGTAATATGTATTTTAGTTATGTACCATCCATGTGATCGATATAGCAGTACACATCATATAAGCTGTTTGGGTCCATCGTGCCATAGTTTCTCACACCAGGACGCCCATCCATGTCTCCAAAGCAACCTTGACGTGGCTTTTGAATGGGGTACCTAAAAGTTAAATCAATTAATTAAAAGGGGAAAGTAATTTCAATGTACTTCCAAGTATTATTTTATGTGTAGCCCTACAGCTGTAAAAAAGTAAGATTTAGTAAGATTTAGAGTAAGATTTAAGATTAAGTAAGATTTAAAAGGCCCATATTATGCTATTTTCTGGTCTGTTATTATGTTTCTGTTATTATGTTTCCACATCAAAAACATACCTGAGTTGTGTTTTTTTTACCCTGTAAATTTAGGCAGAAACCACTTCCACTTTGTGATGTCATGTGGTAATACAGGAAGTGCTCCACTGTGTTTTTAACCTCCATACACCTTCATTAGAATCATCTGGATGATTACATTGCCAATCTTGACTACACAAAATGTAGTTGTTAACTTAACAACTACTACTTCATGACATGACAAGTTGGAACAGAGCGTTTTGAGCTTTGGAGATGGAGACAGACTAATTGTAAAGGACAGTAAGAATTTTAAAGATCATGTGTGAATGAAACAAAACACAACTCCAGGTGTGTTTTGATGAGGTACCAACATTATAACGTGGCTTAAAGCTTACAAGAGTTAATTTTGTGTAATATAGGATCTTTAATAAACAGGTCAGACAGAAGTAATATACCTGACAGATTGGTCTGCTAGCCAGCCTGCGTCGCACTGCTCATATCCGTCATGATAAGCTGCAAGGAGATGATCGGGAGTTGCCATTTCCGCTCCAATCGACTCACACGCTTTCTGGGCCTGAGGGAAGGAGAAGGCATAACGGCCCATCGCATCTCTGTAGTGGAAGACCACACCTGAGGCAAGAAGCATAAAGGTTATTGTTACTGTGTACAAGCGGTAAGGTCATTATATTGATTTGTATTGATAAGTATTAATATGTTAACGCGTTTTTTTTTTCTTGTTTTTTTTTTTACTTTCATTTACTCAGAATTTGGGTTAGGTGGAAAAAGTTAACTGACCCTGTACACTTTTGGCTGGATTTGACATTTGTTTTAAGTTATACTAAGTCATATTTAAGTCATAAATTCTCATAATAAATGGTTGCAGTGTCTTGCCTATTGACAGTTTGACCCAGAGACTCATTGGTTGAAAGGAAAACACTTCTTATTCTTAGTTTTATTTATTTATTTATTTGTAAATGTTTTAGTGGCTAATTTCCACCTTTAGTCCCTCGGCACTATTTCACTGTCTCACTCACCTTTGATCTTAAAAATATTTACCTTTAACCTTTAGTTGCACGATGTCACTGTCGTCCTCCAGACCCTGCTGCACCTCACAGCGGTAATGCCCTGAGTCACTAGAGCGTATATCATATAGCCACAGCGTCAGGTCCTCCGAAGATGAGGTGTAGTTTAGTAACGCCGCACGGTCTTTAAACGCCTCATTGACCTTTACCCTTTGATCCCGCGCCACTAGAATCTGTTTTTCTATCCCTCCGGACACCACTGACCACTTCACTCTGGGTTCAATGGAAGATGGTACAGACGAGAGGGACATGAAACAGGGGATCGCCACCATGCTTCCCAAAGAAGATTCTATGACATCTGACTCAAGGATCTTCACCTGGAGACGTGCGCTGGACTCTGCAAAGAAACCGCCCCAAACAATATGACTATATCCAACCACAAATATATATATGTAATATAACAATAACAGAATTGTCAATAGAGAATATGCATTTCTGTCCACAAAGCCAAGCTCAAACACTGGGGTGATCGGGCTTTCTGTGATCCCCTCCCCCTCCACCCTTCCCTCCTGATATGCACACCATCATAGACTTTGGCCTGTTTAAGTCCAGGCTCAAAACTGTTATCTATTCAGACTAGTTTTCAACACTCAATAATGCAATGACACTTTGAACAATTTGTTTTATTTCATTGTTTAATGTTTTTCAATGTTTTATATTGTATTTGTGTTGTAAAGGGCTCTATAAATAAAGACTGATTCACTATACCAGCTCTGCACCGCTCACTCAGTCCTTATAATCTTGGCCTATGTCATGAGAGGTATAATACTCCCTACAAAAGCAGCTAGACTGGACTGGACTAGATTGGAATGGATATTACAATCACAATGTCTTTGTTGTGTTAAAGTTATTGGGTCCTGTACTGATGGTAAATACAATTCTCAAGATAAGTGGGCAAGTGTACAGGTATATTTGTATTTCTGTAGATTTTCATTGTCTTTATAGGGAAAAATTGTCCTCTGCATCTTTCAAAGTTCCTCAGGGCAAGTGGTCAGGTGCACTGGGACTTCTTCGAATCTTGAGACAGGATCTTGAATGCGTTCAGGATAAAATAGTGATACAGGTGATACACGTAGGAGAGAAGGCTGCTTTTTTTTTGGTCATACATAGGAGATTGATGAAGATCCTCTAAGACTATGACAGTGCTGGAACGTAACGAGGTAAAGTTCTGTATCTAAGTATACGTTTTAAGTATCGGTACTTTACTTAAGTACAATTTACAGTGGATACTTTTTACTTTTACTTTACTACATTTGAGAGCAGGTATCTGTACTTTCTACTCCACTACTTTTTTGAACTGGACTGAAAAGTAAAAGTAAGTATTTTTATGAATATGTGAGACCTGCTGCAAAGACCAAGGGGGTTATTTTTAACATTCATTCATAATCTGAGCAAACAAAAAAAAATATATATATAAAAACAACTAAGAAAAACATCTGCACAAATCTCAAAATCACTGCATTTGAAACTTTGTTAGATCTCAGAACACAAATACTTTTTACTCTTTTTACTTATTTTTTTTTGCTCAGGTATCTGTACTTTTACTTAAACAATAAAATTGAGTATTTCTTCCACCACTACTGGACTATGACCTGCAATTGACCCAAGGAGGCTTATGTGGCACTCTCTCTACCACTGTGCCAAAAATCATTCATAAATTATTCAAACACCGTTATAACATTTACTGAAATATTAATTTGAGGTTATGTTGCAGAAACAAAACAAAACTGACATTTGATATATCAACAACTCTCTGAAAATTTCCAGTGTAGGATTGACCAGAGAGAAAAAGACTGATCTAGTCTTTTGCCCCTTTTTCACATAAAAATAATGTTTAGTTAGTCCAGTCCTTAAAACTCAATTTCCTTGTAAATCAATGTAGTCTAATTGGTAACCTTGGTAACCATTATAAAAAATGTGCCCATCTGAATTGCACAAATACACAAACAAACAATAGATATTTAACTATAAGCCTGAAAAAGATGAAAAAATGAGAAAGACAGGCATACTGACTGAGTGTTCTTGCCTCTCTACAGATCTGACCTGTAACTAGGTCTGGTTTGGTCTCCATGAAAGGAGAAAGGTTTACAATACCATACTGTGAAACGTTCAAGACTAAGCAATAATATTTCCATGGAGAAGAGCATTTGACAGAACCTCCACCAGAAAAGAAAGTTACACAATGCACCTTTAAAGATTTAATTTTTCCACAGTTTTTTTTCTGCATTTATTTGTTTTTATCTGATGTTGTCTTCCTTATACCATGTTTAGTTTTTTGTGTGTGTGTTTGGGGAAAGGGGGTGGGGCTAGAGGGTTGTATGCTTTGTTGCTTTATGTTTGTTTTACATTTGTTTTATATATTGCTTTATGTTTTTGTGTCTTGTTTTTGTATTTATTATTACTCTATTGTTTAATATTTTATTCCTTTGTCCTTAAAGGTACACTGTGTAGCATTCTTAGTGGAGGATCCACCATCTGTTTGTCTCCATGGAAATGTTATTGCCTTGTCCAGAATATTCCACAGTATAGATAAAACCTGTCAACCTGTCAGACAAACAGGATACAGCACTACATTATATGACAATTCAGATCTGAGGAGGGTCGCCCCCATTAACAGAAGGAATTATTGTATTTTTGAGCCATGGAAACACACGTAATGAATAAATGCTAGATGGATATATTGCACAATGTACCTTTGATAAAAAAAATAAAAAAAAATAAAAAAAAAACTGTAAACTGTAGACTCACCAAATGTAGGCGCAGAGAAGGCCAACGAGAGACAGCACGTTGCACAGAGAAGGGACAGGATCTTCGCATTACTGTAAAACAAAGAGATATTGAACAATCTGACCATAAAGTGATTACAGGTCCATATAAAAGGACATAAAAATAATGCAGACTTATTGTTTCTCCTTTATTTGGATTCCAATTTCACACACGTTTAGCCACTGACAGTCCTTGGGTTGGGTCAAGCTCCACTGATCAAACCAAATCAATTTTTATTTTATGATTGAAAAGTCAGCAGTAGATACTTGCAACAAATCCATGGTGCATCACAAAAGCGGTGCAGTAAATAATTGCAAGTCTGTTTGCATTATGAATTATTGACATCAATATTCAGAGCCACAGCTATGTGATATCGCCCTTGGTAATTAATATGAGAAAGTCAATCTACTATTCTGCTTGAAAGTTGAGCACTGTACTAGACTTTTAAAATGTCTGGGAACAAAGGTGGATCAGGGAGAGGATGAATACATTTTTAGTGATTAACTTAAAACGGCCTATATTATGCAGTTTTCCGATCTCTGTTATAACATTTCCTCATCAGAAACATACCTGGAGTTGCATTTTGTTTAATTCGAACATGTTTAACACATAAATCCTGCGTGTCTGTTCCATCTTGTGATATCATGTGGTAATATAGGGAGTGATCCAGTGTGTTTTAAAACTCCATACACCTTCACAAGAATCATCTGGATGATTTCAGCCCTGGAATGTCTACTGAACTAAAGGTAAAAGATAGCTGTTAAGTACCGCTTCATGACATCACAAGATGCAACAGAACATTTTGAGCTTTGGAGATGTAGACAGAGTAACTTAAGGGTTAATCAAAGATGTGTGAATGAAACAAAACACAACTCTGGATATGTTTTTGATGAGGTAACAGCATTATAATATGGCATAAAGCTCAAAGGAGACGATTTTGTGTAATACAACCTTTAAAAAATAAAAGTTTGGGTTGGCGGTATAGTGGTTTAAGACACTTTACATATGCAACCATTTGCTGAATGTCTCTATTCTCTCACCCCCATTTCAAGCTATAGATACCATTCCATGAAACATGAAAAAAACAACAAAGAAAGAAAGAAATGACATACAAAAACATCAAAAACAAAACAAAAAATACTTGTATTCATAATTTGCAAGTAACTGATCAGAATTTTCCCATGTGAACTCAAATTGTATCATAATGTAGATCTTCCCAGGACCGGTTCTTTGGCCCAGTGGTGGTTTTCCTCTTGATCCTGGAGCAGACCACAGTCATTCATCTGCTCAGTTGTAATGACACAGCGTCTGAGAGGAGAGGGATTAGATCTGAGCCTGTTATTAACCCCACTACGGCAGCAGCAGTAGCAGCAGAGCGACCTCACACAACCTCACTCATTTACATAAGCACAATACTGTCCACTGTCACAGCCTGAAAGTGCTCAGAGACAAAGTAAACTGGTTTCCATGAACTTACTACACTATAAGTTACAAATACTTTTAGCCAGTTAAAGTCCTATATTATACAAAATTGACTCTTGTTTTGAGTTTTAGGACATGTTAGAATGCTGTTACTTCATCAATAACATACATGGAGTTGTGTTTTTTTTTTCATTTACACATGAGTGATCCTGGTTTATTAGTCTGTATTAATCTCCAATGCTCAAAACACTCTGTTCCACCTTGTGAAGTCTTCATGATAACAGCTACATTTTCCCTTTAGTTTAGTAGAAATTAGTAACTCCAGGTTTGAAATAATCCAAATGATTCAAGTGAAGGTGTGTGGAGTTTAAAAACACAATGGAGCACTTCCTGTATTACTGCATGACATCACAAGGTGGAACTGAGCATTTTGACCACTGGAGATGCAGACTGACTAATAAACCCAGATCACACATGAGTAAATGAGACAAAACACAACTCCATGTATGTTATTGATGAAGTAACAGCATGTATTTTCTGTTTCAGTGGAAAAACTCAGCCTTAATATGCAGAGTTTGTGTGTTTAACATGTGTGAAAAAAAAAAAAAAAAAAGTTAATAAGTTAAACGCCATTCTCCATTACTGAAGAAATGCAACGGATTTCTTTGTATGTTTGTATGTATGTCTGTATATATGTATGTATGTTTCTTTGTATTCTTATGTATGTAGTACTACAGAAATGTTAACTTAGGTTTTCATAAACAATAAAAAGTGTATATAGCCATTCTTTAATAGCACAGATATAATTATAAACTCATAGATAGTGTCTTGCTCATTGGGCTGGACTTAGCATTTAGTCTCATATTTGGTTTACTTGGTTATAGATATAACCTATGATATGAGCTCCAAAAGCTGCAAGAGTCATTTTAATTTTTTTTTTTTTTTTTCCATTATCATGTCAAGATTTGAAATTGTGAGAGGATTACAGATCACAGAGAGGTCATTCGTTCTCAGGAATCTTGGACTGGAATGAAAAGCTTTTTAACTTTCCCTATAATGCTGCTTTCTTTTTTGGTTTTAGTTT